CAAATTTGTTCGTAAAGTTTACCATGTTCTGGGCATTGACAAGTTGGTGAATATCATTATTGACACTACTTAACTTCGTACTCCCTAAAATCTCGTGGTGTTGGTCTAGTGTGGATTGCAGGGACTCAGGCATCATCTACAGGAATGTTAGTGCACATAAATTCAACATCAAAACTTATCGGGAAATCCCCACTTATTTAATGCTCGTCGAGTAAGGTAACAATTTCACGAGAATTCTTAACTTCTTCCACGTCTCGTTAACTTAGTCGACGAGCAGGATAAAAAAAGTTGGGATTAACTGGTAACTTTTGATGTTGAGTCTATGTAGGCTAACATTCTTGTAGACGATGCCAAACAGGCCTTGCAATCCAAATGTGCAAAACTCGGACATTTTAAGGACTCTGAAATTAAGTACAATGCTAATAATGATACTCACTTGGAATAAGCCTAGGAATTTTAGTGAAAACTACCTATGGCTGTTTGATAGGATTAGGGAGAGGGGAGGAACGAAAAGTATCATCGAGCTAGAGGAGGAGGCTTGATTCCGCTCGAATCTGGTTTTGACTTTCACATTACACCCATTTCAAGATCAATGCATTCACACAACGCACATGCAATGGAACGCAATCACATGCGGCAACATTGCAGAATCAAAGGCATACTTGTTTTACGGGAGGATTAAGCTATTCTGTCCCAATTGCTAGGCTTCATGCTTCACCTGCAGCTACTTTACATGTTATCTGCAGCTACTTTACATGTTATCTGCAGCCACTTTACTTTTGAGCAAACATGTAAGCAAAGCATAGGATATCCAACGAAAACATGAGATGCCTATTTAAGTGGAGCACATAAGATTATACGATGTAGGGTAGCATGAAGCCGGCCACATTTCATGCCTTCGTGTTTTTGGTGAATTATCGTTAAGCATCGTATCCTGCTTTTGCGATGTCTATCATATGACGGACGCAACCTCAGCAAGGATTCATGAGGGTCGCAGGATAGTGCGCCGAGGATTTATTTGCGCAAATCTACAGTCAGCTTCAAGGCAATCCACTTACAGCTTCCGATGAGGCCAACTCATGATCCTTTCCACCCACCTCTTCAAGCGAAGTGAAAGGTACTCTCACATTCTTTTCTTGATCCTCCTACATTTGGCAGCTATCCTCTTTTTCTCTGTTCTTTTTATTGATCTTACTGTCTAGGGCCTCTCATCAGCGTTAATTACATTCACTCTGCATCATTTCATTCTCTTTGTTTTTGGCACTATCTCATCTTCACTTGCATCTTTTTTGACCTCAACTTCGATGGACAGTTGTCACACACCAGTCTGTCGGCATTAGTCGTATGGCGGCCAACTGATCGATCTACATCTCTCCTTCGCATTCTCTTCGTCTCGCCCAACGCACACCAAGCCCGCGTGCTTGCCAGTCTCGAGGCGGTGGCGACGGCCAATTGTTTCCTTAGACATGCCAAGCCTACATCTGCTCAGATTTCTGGCACTGAATACGTTACTACTACTGCTAGTGCGGGGCCAGCCGACAAACGTCCCACTCGACTCAGCACAATTCCAACATCTGGTAGGTCTTATCGCTTCCTTCTATCCCCTCTACTTGTTTATCTCTGTGGCCGGTTCGTTTGGCTTAATTTGCATGTAACTATCTGTCATTTTAAGATTTTGGCTTATCACTAGATTTGAGCTCTTTTACGTCACGCCACGCTAGAATATTTCAATAATAAATAGTTTCTCTTGCCTACTAGTATATCCAATATATAAGATGTATTCATCCTATTTCGTTGAGGCGATGTAGGACAATAATATGAGTAAGCTTTACGTTTTCAATGAATTTCACATAGCCTTGCTTCCCATAAGCTAACATTAACCAGCTTGAAATGCAGTTCCGACCTCGTATTGATCTCATCAGCACCCCCAGCGAACCCAAACATTGACAATTGAGAATATAATCTAGATATATTATCTTTTTTGAAAAACTATTCTGTAGTATTTCGAGAAACTTATTCTGTCTGGGTTACTATGCTCAATACCTATCTCTGTTTTTATTATTATTTTACTAGGGTATTTTTACTCGATTGCATTTAGCTATTCAGCTGTTTTGGGGAAAACACTGATGATAGCCTAATTGCGATAGCGTAGATGCCGAAGCATGATCAGTATTAATTATTTTGAAGATATGAAGACCAAGATATTGTGGCCTCTGGTATGTTCTCCTCTCGATTTATAGAAGTGGGATGACAAGTCAGAAGGTGCGATAGGGCGGCAGTGGGATACAGGGTAAAAAGTAGATAGATAGGCCAGGACAAAAAGAGGAGTGATAATGTAACCGTTTTCTGCAGAACGCTTGTCGAGGGATTGACTTCACTTCTCTCTTTGACGAGTTAGTAGCTTGGTGTGGAGAATGGCAAAACTCACTGATTTTGTCGGCTTTTTCATTTATATCATAGCAACAGTTTCTCTTATTTTATTTCCATCTATAATACACATATGGTATCTTATTTTATCCATATTTTTTCGATAAATGTGATAGTCATATTCTTT